GGCAGTTTATAGATCAAGCTGTTGTACTAAAACTCCAGACTTTGAATGGTCGATGTGATGTAGAGAATGTGGAATGTGGGGGGTTAACTGGGGTGAGGGGGTCACAAGTTGAAGCTGCTTTCCCTCTCCTGGCCTGCTACTGACACACTCATGTGTGCCGCACATCTCCAGGAACAGATGTACCCAAAGCCCGAGTTGCACACACACCTCCCCTCCCCATCTGCTGGACAGTGTCCCAGCAGCCAAAGAACAGGAAGAGACAAGATTCCTGACATGATGTGGATGTGAGCCCTGCTGCGAACGTCTCTGATTCACGTGTCCTGTAACAAGATCCTGCAGCAAATATTTCACCGACTTAATCTTTCATTTAATTAACTTTGTAAATCTTTTCTTTTTTCCACATAAACTCTCTCGTGCATGGATGGATGTTTCACAGACGGAGCTTCGGGTCAAGCGGTGTTGTGGTTAAAGAGCTTTGCAGCGGCCATATCCCATTACACTGGCCAATAGCAGCTCCTCTGTTCACAAACCTATAGTCTAAACTTTGGTTGGACCTAAACACACTGGACTAGTGACAGAAGGGGTGTGACCGCAGCAGCACGGGGAGGAGGAAATCCTCTCTGAGTCATGGTGAGGGTCACCGGGGCTCGGTTCCTCTCCTAAATCCCTCATTTGAGGTTGTCAGATAAGCTTTCACCTTGGACCTGACTTCTAAAGAGGCACTCGATGGCCAACGACAGGACTGCTTTCTTTAGATTCTTGTTGAGTCTAACAGCGAAACGTTAAAAGCAAAAAACGCTCTGCTGTTCTCGTGATCGATCATCACTCAGAGAACATGCAAAAGGAGAAAAGAAAAATAGAAACCACCCAAAAGAAATCCATGCAAGCAGTTTTTCTGGCAGTCCAGACATCACAACCCTCTCTGTTGACAGTCAGCTTGGTTCACCAACAGGAGGGTCTGGCTGTGATGCGGGCTGCAGTGAAACTCAATCCTCCAGGCCGAGACTCAGAGGACACAGAGAAGTACAGAAAGAGAGAAGTGCTTCTCTCTTCTCTGCCTCCAATCAAACTGACATGCACCATTAGTGTTTATTATTCATATTTTTTGTCAGCTTGTAGAAACCTTTGAGCGAACAGAAAGTTGAACTTTTTTTTTTGTCAGACAATTTACTTTCACAACAAAACATTTATTTTCTTTAATGTTTTGATTCTGTAAAACAAATCCAGACACGTTTCAGAGAGTGGCCGCATTCAGCTACGTCACATCACAAGCTGTTTTGCCGGATTCACACTTTGTTCCCTTTGTTCGGTATCTCGTGTTTTAGCAGCCAACCTACCTCATGTTCACACTGGAGAATTTACCAAATCATCCGCCCTACTCCTGATCCATTGCCTGGCAATGACCCGCATATCAGGTTGTCTTGCAATGAGTGTGTGTGTGTGTGTGTGTGTGTGTGTGTGTGTGTGTGCGCGTGCGCAAACTGAGCATCATGTGTCATCTCCTGGAAAGAGGGAAAGACAGGGACAGAGGATGAGGAGCAGGTTGAAAGAAGAAAATCGTCTTTTTCCAGGTGCTTCATTCATTGAGCTTTACTGATATTTAGGATTTGTATTATCATACATTTGCTGGTGGCACTAACTGTAGTTCTTTCAGAAACTAAAAATGGGTTTCTACTCTTTTTTAACGTAACTAATGTGGGCTGAGGGATTGAGCTCTAAAAATAAAACATATGTTCCTGCAGGTCTGCGGGAGCATGGGCCTCAAGCGTATTGTTTTGGGATATGGGGGAGGACAGGGAGGGTCTGGCCTGGAGAGAGATTCTGCAGAGACGGAAAGCAGCTGGTGCAACTTCATCAGAACCGTCTCTTGCAAACTGATTTGTGCAAGCTTTGCTGCAAGTTGTTGGAAGAAACCCCAAATTGTCAGTTCACACCATCACACCTATATTTTCTTGCGACCTTTGTCAGCTAAATGCAAGTAAGTGCAACTGTGTGACTTGCATTTATCTGAGATGAGTCAAGAGACAATCAGGCAAACAGTAGAAACTTGCAACAAGTAACACTGGATAAACTGGCGAACTGGATAAAACAGACGGTCAAGCTTTGGAGAGAGGATCAGTGGCTGAAGGCTCTTCTGAGCTGTGTGAAGCAGAAACAGGAAATGACCAGATATAGAAGAAGAAAAGAAGCACAAATGTGACTAGGGCTGAATAAGACGGGTTTAGAGCGGAGACATGTACCTTTTTCCCATAAGTCAAGCGCATCTACTTCCAGTCCATACGCCGCTCACTGTCAAAGAATGAGGGTCTATGGAGGGATAAAAGTTATTTTCTGATCCAGTCTGATGTGTGCCATGGATTTCACATGATGTTTGTGAATTTTAAAGACACACTGTCAAAGAAAGCGCTTATTTTCGACAAGTGGCAACATTTATTTTAGGTTTTGTGTGAAAAGACGTAGCAGGCTCGTCGCAAGATTTGCATCATCAAACTAGACAAGGAGGAGAAGAAGAAAAATGGCTGAGTTTACAGTGCTTTGCATCCTTCTAGGACAAAAGACGGAGCATTAAGCCACTGTAAATCTGTCCATGTAGCTGGGGAGAGGAGATTCTGCGGTGACATCATATTTAAACATTTTAAACATATTTTTAATAATGCTTGGAGAGCTTTTTTATACTTTAATTTTTTGTTTTGTTTTTGTGAAGCGCCTCGTGATTTTCATCTTGGGCTGCACAGTGGATAGAGCTGTTGCCTTGCTGCAAGAAGGTCCTGGGTTCGCCTCCTGGCCTGGGATCTCTCTGTATGGAGTTTGCATGTTCTCTCTGTGCATGCGTGGGTTCTCCCACAGTCCAAAAACATGACTGTTAGGTTGATTGGTCTGTGTGTGTGTGTGTGTGTGTGTGTGTGTGTGTGTGTGTGTGTCTGTGCGTGAGTGTTTGTCCTGTGTGTCTGTGTTGCCCTGCGATGGACTGGCTCTCTGTCCAGGGTGTACCTCACCTGAATGCCCATTGACCGCTGGAGATGGGCACCAGCCCCCCCCCCCCCCCCCCCCCCCCCCCCCCCGCGACCCTGCGTGGACAAGCGGGTTCACAAGATGGATGGATTTTCATCTTGACAGGGTGCTATATAAAGTAACACCTGATTTGTAGTCTTTTTAATTATGACTTTGTGCAAGCAAATAAATCTTTAAGTATGTGACAAACATCGTTAAAACAAACATAACCGTTTATCATTTAAATTGAAGTACAACATGTGCGTCATTCAGGGCGTAAAGCAAAGTGGACGAGATAACTATAATAACTTTTATAGCTCTGTGTTCGTTTGCATGCTTTTTATTTTTCGGTCCGGGGACGCATGAGCTGACTGGAGGGAGAGGAGACGTGTAGCTCCCTTTGCAGAAAAAAAAACATGATAAAGCAGATAAAACTTTTACAGCAAAAGAGTTCTCAAACATATGATTCCAATCCTCACAGATAAGAGTAAAGTTGCCTGAAGTACACACACACACACACACACACACACACACACACACACACACACACACACACACACACACACACACACTTTTGACATCAAAATCGTTTCCTTGCTTGGCACTCACACGTTTTCAGGTATTTTCCAAGAACGATCACCCCAATAAATCTAGACAAGCGTGACATACCCACCTGAAGCAGAAATCTCATTGTTATTCTAGCGCTTCTTGGCAAAATCCTGCATTGTTGAAAAACCTGATTAGTTACTTTTCTAATGAGGTACAACTTGTGAGGGTTATGCATTTGTGTCATGAGTAACAGCTCATTTTGTGGGCTGTGCCCCATAAAAACAAACCAAAGACCCTTGTGATATTTCTTATTGGTATTAACTCTTGTTCTGAATCGCTTGGTAGATTGGATGATTGAACACTCAAACAAACGCATACTGGTCATGTTACACATAATTTTTCACTAAGAGGAACCTATGGAATATCCATCCGCACTTGGCTCTTCGTCTTCAATTTGGTCCTATTTTACAGTGGAATGAAGTCCCAGTTTTTGGAAATCAATCAGTCTGCTGATGTTGGTCATTCTAGCACATACAGCTCATCAGTCATACACCTGTACCTTGCACACATGGCAGCACCTGTCCCACTGTGCAAAGACCTAGTCTGGACGTCCTACAGACGTGGTCTGGACCGGCAGACTCAATATAGACATGATTTGCACGTCCATGTAACGTTGTTTGTTTGCAGGGGTGCTGAGTGTTCATGTAATAACAAATGCATCCATAAAACAACTAAACAAGACTCTTATTTATAAACTTGTAAGAAAAAAAGTTGAAGTAAATAGTCTAAACGTGTCACACCGCTGATATTTAGCTTTTATGCAAAAGGCAAAGATAATTTAGAGTGCCCTGCAGACATGCAGCAGCTCAGTCAGCACTGCACTTAAAAAGGTTATTTGTAACAAATCACAGAAAAATATTGGTCTTTAAATATCCAGACAATAGAAACTAGAATCAGAAAGTCAATTCAATAATTTTGTTCAGCAATGATCAGTCAGACAGAAATTAGATGACGTGTTTAAATTCAGTCTGTAAGATGACTTTAAATTCTTGTGGTTTTGGAGCTAAACGAGTCACCGAGTTTTCAATAAAAACATAAACGAACTGTAAATAAACAATATAACTATTGTTTATGTTGGCTTTTAGAAGGTTCTGCTCAATGGAACGCCATTTTTACACTTCTACACCTATAAGGAAACGTTTTAGATCAAACCAAGCGCCTAAAGGACAGGAGCATCATGTAAAGTCCAAACTAAAGGAAAGATGCTGTGAAATCGAGGGACTCCTGCTTGATTAAACAAGAATAAATGCTGTCAGTGCCCAGGGACGCGCGGGCTGTCAGAGGAGAGGGGCGTGTCGTGTGGGCGTGTCTCCGTGGGGAGTGTCTGCTCTCGCCCAATCACGTTTTAGAGTGTAGGTTGTAGGCGTGGCTTAGCTCCCACACCATCCTGACCCAGCTGCAGCACGCTTTTGTTCAAACTCCGGAGTCAGACAGCGCTGAGCAGACAGAGGTGTTTCCTTTACAGTACACGTGAGGAAGATGCTGTCACTTTAAAACACGCAGCTCTGGCTCAGAACACTGACATTTTGGGTCTTTTATTGGTGACTTTAGGTGTTGTTATGAAGTTTTGCGAACGAGCGTAGCGGATGATGTGAAGGATTTCCTCCTGAATCCCTTCTTGTGGTTGGACTATGACTGCCATCGGGTAAAGATACTGATTTAGTTTAGCAGACAGGAGAGGACAGGACAGGCTTCCCTTCGTCCTTCTGGGATCTCTATGGGGAGCGCACTCCCGGTGTGCCCACCCCCAACTCCTCCTGGACTCGGCGTGAACGTGGACCCCACCGACCTGGATAGCAGAAAACGACACGCTTAACCGTATTTGAATGCCTTTGCAAGGAGTTTGCTGGTTTCTGTGCTGCAGGCAGGGCTTCAGTTTGCTGGGACGGGACTATGGGGAAAAGGAGGAGGAAGAGTCTTTTGAGTTGCGCAACAAGGAGGACTTGACCCCCAATGGACGGGTAAAAATAATCTCCACCTGCTCTTTTTTCCTGCTTACCGCTCATTTTCCCTGAAAACGACGAAAGCCAATAATGTACCGTATCCACATTTGTAATGCTGCTCTTTGCACTTCCTTTATACACTTTAGATTAGTTGCATGTGTGGTTTTGTCCGAGCACACAGATACTGATTTAACAATGATTGCACGTGAAAAGTAAACATCGGCCCTTCATGATGATAAGAAATGCAGATGTTTCTAACCGGTGTTAACACGTGGTTTCTCAATCCGAGGCTTTATTTGGCTTTCAGGGTGCTCAGTTTTTCACGTTCAGCTTTTCTGCACAGATCTCTCAAGCTTAGGCAACATTGAGCAATATACCCCCCCCCCCCCCCCACACACACACACACACACACACACACACATGCTCTGATGCAAGCTGTAAAACTCAGTGAGCTGAACTGATCCTGTGTGCTTTGCCTCCATCCGCTCATTTTCAAATAAGACTGTGGCCTTGTCTTCTCTGTAATGTTAGTCATCTGATCAGGCGCAGTGAGTTCAGCATTGTCCACCCACTTGTGAGGGGTATTGTTGCCTCTAGATGAGGTAGGCTCTTTTGGTAGAACATCTGTTTATGTACAGTGTCTTCGCTGATTCACTAGTGTTTACTCATTTATTTAAAAAAGGCATCTGAGAGGAGATAGCTAAGCCACATTCACTTACATTCTGCTAGCTTTTTGATATATATGCAGTAGAGGTCGATACTGGTTTTTCTACCGATGCTGATGGTAGGAAACACAGTCAGCCGATGGACAACATTAACTGCCGATTTTCATGGCTGATATCTAGACATTTTCCAACTTATTGTCATGATAAAATATCATTAATAACATCAATTGGTGCACAAAGTTGAATCTGTTTTTGAGCTCTGAATTTAACAAACTGTTAAATCTTAACTTTGTGCATTGATCGGTGTTATAGTCAGACACCTATAAAGTTAATTTAGTGTGTTTCTTATGCAGATATTATTAGTGAACATAAAAATACATTTAAATCAAAATCTGCAGCAGCACCGTGCTGCCCGAGGATGTGCCTGACTTTAAATCGGCTTTATTAAGGACAATTATCGGCTTATGCCGATGTATAAAAAACTGTAAATATCGGCCTGATATATCAACTGACATATATCGGTCTACCCCTAATATACTCGCTTGCAAACGACCAGTGTGGCTGCAGGAACATTTGCATGGAAACGTTCTGAACAGATAAGTTTACACAGTTGTTTGGCTCAACAGAAACCTAACTGCACCAACATCCCCCAGATAAGGGCAACATCTGCTGCTCGGGGCTCTTCGGTGAGGTGTTGGTTTGTAACAGCACACTTTCTATATCTTAATGTACCATCTGGCTGGCCATCAGGGGTCTAAGGAATCCAACTCATAATCAATCCCAGATCAGTCTTCTAAAGTGATCCTATCAGATACTTTTACTGTCATGTTTCCCAAATCCCTCATTAAAATGCAACCTCATCTCCTCTTGGGATCTCACATTAAAATGTTTACCAGACAAGAGCTTTTTGTTGATCTTGCTCAAACAACTTTATTCTCTCAAAGATGAAGATAAGGATGGCCTCGGCTGTCTAGTCCAACTCCTGCGTCATAACCAAATTGTCATGGAAGCGTAGCTAAAAATGGGTGCATTTGCTTTCCTGCCGAGTTGTTTTTTTCGCAGTGTAGTATGACATTCCGTATCTTTACATATGTGACCGTGTGTGCAACTAACTTGCAACTGGATTAGAAAAAAAAGTTTGTTATTCATTGCGCAAAATTCTGAGATTAAGGATTCAGCCGTTGAAGATCGAACTGATAATAACTTCAGTGATGTCACGAACAGATACAAATCTGAGGAGCTGAAACTCCCTGTTGGTGGTGTAGCTTATGTGTAGAAAATAAAACGTTGCACAAAACTTAAATCAGTTGTATGTTATTATTTGGGACGGCTGTAGCTCAGGAGGTAGAGCAGGTTGTCCAGTAATCGGAAGGTTGCAGGTTCGATCCTGGAACTAGATCCTGTTGTGTCCTTGGGCAAGACATTTAACCCACCTTACCTGCTGGTGGTGGTCGGCGGTACTTGTGGGGCTTGTGTTCAGCAGGCCTCGCCTCTGTCCCCAGGGCAGCTGTGGCTACATCGTAGCGCATCATCATCAGCGTATGGGTTGTGTGTGTGAATGGGTGTGCGAAGCACCTTGGGGGGTTGTAGAACCCTATAAGAAGGCGCTATACAAATACATTACCATTTATTTATACGCAATGTAATGAAGTGGTAGTCAAATAGGACATTTTCTGATTTATCTTTGTCTCCAATCAACTTGATTGTGTTCAAGGTTACAAACGCTAGTAAAATACTGATTAAGTTAAAGTGTCACATTAAATTTAGGAACATTTTCATTGCCTTTAAATAGTTTCTACCCCTTTATTATTGTGTTGCTTTGCAGAATAGTCTCCTATCGATTTATGCTCTGTGGTATTTATGAATATAAACTGCCTTGCGTTGAGCCATAAATTCCTCCGCTGCCTCTTTTAATCTTTGTGATATAAATCTGTTTTCTGTCGTGTTGCTTGTTTGACTTATCAGATCACTTCTTAATGGAAGCAATCATTTTACTCCTGTAATTTAAGGGGTTTAGTCGAGCTATGATAAACAGGGAACCATTCCTTTGGTTGAAGAAAACGCACGATAAATACACCCAAGCATGACTGAGGTTTTGAGTCATTTGATATACTTTAGAAAATTGTGTCTCCTGTTGATTCGTGCCAGTCGTCTATTGTAGACATTTCTGTCATTCTTAGTAGTTGATGCTTTTCCATTTCTATTTGGGAGTTATCTAAACCAAAGACTGTATCCTCAGCTGGTCAGTCTCAGCCCTGAAAAGTTGTTGTGCATCACAAATCCTCCATTGTAGGAGTATAACGTACAGATTTTTGCTTTCATTTAAGTCAACTGAAGGAGTTTGATAGACTTAAACACAATTTTGTGATCGCCATGGTGGAATTTATTAAAACAAAGCTTTTAATCTAGAGCAGGGGTGTCAAACATGCGGCCCGCGGGCCGGATCCGGCCCACAAGTAAGTTACATCCGGCCCGCGAGATGGCTGTGTACACTTTATTTTCATACTTTACAATGTAGAGTGAAAATAAACTTATCTTTGTGAGCAATTTTTCTCTGTAATGAGTATAAATAAAACAAAGCTGCGCTCAAGGCTCACACAAGAACTTGAATCACATCCTGAAGTTGGCCGCCACTCAGGATGTGACTTCTGATATTGATGTGCTGGTGAAAGCTAAAAGATGTTAAGTAAAATGAGTCAAATACACTTTAAGCGCTGCATGAAACTGATCTAGCCATGTGATCTGTAAGCTCTTTGAATCACTAAGGAATGTTTTATTTATTTATTAAGGTTTTTATTTTTTTCCCAAATTTTCAAGCACACTTCAGGTGTTGTACTTGTACTATTTTGGATACACTGTCCTCAGGCTCCAGCCTTGTTTTATATTGATTGTATTAAAACAAAGAAAACAATCTGAAGTTGTTTTTAATTTACCGGTCCGGCCCACTTGGGACTAGATTTCCCTCAATGTGGCCCGTGAGCTAAAGTGAGTTTGACACCCCGATCTAGAGCTTTGTTCATTTTTGAGTCAGTGGGTGAGACTTTCTCCGCTGCCCTGATACATGTGTATGTGTGTGCTTCATGACACAGATCTACTTCATTTAGTAGGCCTCTTTCCAAGGATGTCTACAGTGACCCACAAAACGGATGGAGTCTCTCTCCCAGGGACTTTCACATTCTCACCACAAGCAGCAATGTTTGCCAACATGTTGCCGGAGGATGCCATGATATGTGGCATCCAGAGGACCCAAACCATCGTGGCACAGTGTTCTTGGCCACAACTCTTTTTAGTGAAGTTGAAGTTATGAGTCAGAGCTGGCACATGTCTAGGTTTGGCTCTTAGGAACACAAGTCCATGTCAGAACCTTTTCCCTTCGTGTTTACAGACCTCTTTCAAAGAAACTGCTCTTTAGCAGCTGCCCAAACAGTCTCTGAGCTGAATGCTTCCAGTGTTGGGACACCTTGGCACTCACTTTTGGACAGGACATGTCATTCACTCTTCTTTCATTTGTTTTATTTGAAACTTTTCCTTATTTTTATGGGGTGTCAGGGTCAAGTTTACTCATAAAATGCTGCCACACAATGTGAAAGCCTTGGCAGTTGTAAATGTGAATCGGAGCTCCTCTTTAGGGTTTGTTCTTAGAACAATCGGGCACAGTCCAGCGTCGGTGAGGTTGGATCTCGTTAACCGTGACTACTGCCCTTTGCCTTTAGAGGTGTCATGGTACGCTGGTTTATATTTGGTTTCCGTTTCGTCTCTGCCTCACCACCTTTAGGCCACACATCTGGTCCTCAGGCCGACACTAGCTGAGCCCAAGCATTTCCTCCTGTTTACTCAGCCTCCCAGGAGAGCTGAAGGGAAAAAGAAAGAGAGCAAGAGAGTAGACTGGAAAGCCAGAGCGGAAGTCGGCCACGAAACAAACACATCACGCCATCTTTTCCCTCTTTCCCTTCAAACTGTGCTGTAGTTTTGAGTGATTCATCCTCTGCCCGTCCAAGGGGAGCTGTGGTGCCAGAGCTCTGCGTCGCACGCTATCTTTGTTTCCCACCCCACAGCCCATTTATTCTGTTGGAAAGTTTTCTTTTTCCTGTGAATTGAAGGACTCAAAATATCCCAACTCTAGCCACTTTACTCTTTCTATCATTGATCATATAATCAGTTTATATTCTGAAATTACAGCTTGTCTGTTGCTGACAGTATTGAGGTTGATTTGTTGTTTTTAGCAATAGCCATCTGACTTGTTTTCTGCGGTTTGGCTAAGAACGTTCGCTGTATGTTTAATGGCAGACAAGACGAATTACCATACATTCTGTCTTTCACTCACAAGTCACTTTGTAACACTGTTCAGTCGTTCTTGCGTGTTTGGCTTGGCCCACTACAGTCAACAGTTAAACATTAATGAAATGTTATTATCCAAACCCAAATCCTTTCCCCGTTTGCCCCAACAACATAACGTAGATTCAGTACCAAACTTTAAAAGTGCGCTATGTGTTGGCTTTGTTATTTCTGAGGGATCTAAAACCATTCAGTAGAATGTTTTCATGGAGCGGCAGCTATACTTAGGTTAGTTTGCCCAGTAGTAAAGTGTGGTGGGTGAACTGTGAGGGGCCCAGAGCTGACCTGGATACTGTTTCAGGAGGGCCGAATTGGGCCGGGGCAGCCACAGGAGCTGGCCCAAGGCTGTGGCTCACAGAGACAACAAGCCAGGCCACGGGGATACACAGCACTGCTCTCACCAGGGATCTGGTCCAAACTGGCATGCTCTGATGTCCTATGGGGTTTTCCAAGGTTGGTTTGGGAATCTACAAGCTGAATCATCTTCTACTTAATAGAAGAGACCTGGAATGAAAAGGTCATTGTTAGAAATACTAAATTAGATTTTTTTTTCTCGTCTTTGTCAGTGGGACTTGTTTAGTCATTAAAAGGAGTCCTCTCTGTACTCATTTCCTAGAATGAATGTACAGGATTTGCTGTGAACTGCTGCCTTAATGACACAGTTGGTGATTATAAACTGGAACTTCAATCATAACTTAATTATCATCGGTTCACCAATAACTGGACTAAATAAAATTCTGTTTATATGCATCCCATGCAGAGATCTCTTTGTCAAACCTGCAGTCGTTTCCCATTAGCTTGTGGATTTAAACACGAATGAGGTTATTTTGAGGTTGCCCTTCCTCGATAAATGACCAGTCTGAATTAAAAGTTTTCTAACGTGTGAAAATTGGGGTGCATGCAGCTTTAGCACAAAAGATCACTGTTCTGAGCTTTTAAACCAAATTAGCCTGTTTTGCATGCCGTATTTCTCCTCACCAGCTTCCCCCTTGCAAGTACAGGCCAAGAATTACAGAAACAGCGCAACTATGTGCTCAAGCTGCCAGTAACAACTGCATGCACAGCTATAACATGGCCTCTGAAGGCAAACCATTAACTGATCCCTCCAACTTTCAGATAGACTACTGATTGTGTTGCATTATCGGCCATTTACCCTTTTTTTTGTCTTCTGTTGACAGACTCCAGCTGAGGTGACTGTTTCTCAGCCAACTTGTACAGCCAATGGAACAAATGGGTAAGAAAAATTTCCTCCTCTCAAATTCAGAAGCAATACTTCCCATTTTACTTGCAAACTTCCCCTCATCGCTGGGGATTTATACATGTATCCTAAGGCTGGTATTTACAAAGGCTTGAGTTTTCATTTTCTCCACAGCAAACTATTTCACATGGTGCTTCTGTGTATGCATAAAAGTGAAGCAGATTCTCTAGGTTTCACTCTGATTTGTTTTTTTTTTTTTAATTGAAATCAGCTGTGATGTCCTTCTGAACCTTGATCACAGTCTGTCCAGCTTCCACATTCCTCAGAGCCGTGGTTCATAATAAACCAAGATGCATATCCAAATGGTAAAGTTTTAGATGTGGCTTAACAGTGACTGCTGGATACAGTATAAGGAGAAAATCATGAAGGACTCCATCCAGACTATTGGAGCATGGCTGTGATCTCAGATAGTGATGTAGCCAGGCTCTGCTGCTCTCTATCTTTGGCGTCCTGCCGTTATCCCTTCTTCAAGCCCCATCTCTCATCCACAATCTCTACCGTATTGCTGTCGACTCACGAGCAATGAGTCATAAGGCTTGACACATAGCGTTATCATAGACTCCAAATGAGCAGACTGGGGTCTGCAACAACTCTCCACAAGAATCAAACTGCCTCAGGAAGTCGCTAATTCAGAGACGTTTAGATGCAGCCCTGCAGGACATGGTGTCTCCTAAGGCCTGAAGGGCAAAAAGGAAGAGGAATAAGTGACGACTGGACTGTGTGATTCAGTCCTGCCCTAATAGCACTCCCAGAGGAGGAGTGGCTTGGATGTGTGCATGTCATTTCTACAGTTTGGTGGCAGTGTCCTTGGGCGACATTGCAAAATTAATTACTGGTTCTGCAGGGAGTGTGTTAAAAGCTCAGCTGGAATCGTCACACTGAGTGGAGAGATAAGACGTCATACTTGGTCATTACTTGGCTAACAGGCGGGCACACCTAGTTGTTCTGCTCCGTTAAGGAAATGACTAGCAGGGCTCTGATTGGTCAGAGTGGTGCCACATCCATTTAGTTCAAGTCCTGCTCAACAGGCAAGACAACTCTCGTTTGGTCTTTGCAGTTACAGAACCGGTGAGATATATTACTCATTTAAAAATAAATATCAGATCTTACTCAAACTGATTAAAGGACTTTAATATTTTCCATAAAACAAAGGTGTACCTGATAATGTTATGACACATTGTTAACTCAGCCCAGTCATAAATATATTTAAATCAATTTTCTTCAAATAAAAGGTTGAAGGCTACAGATAGTTGTCTGTCGTGTATGATTTCAAGATTCATGTTGTTAATTTTAACTTTTATTAATGTAACTTCTGTAATTTTCTATTTTTGATTTGATGAACATGATGGAAATAGTACAAACATCCTTGTTACCAACACATAATTAACTTATTAATATTTTTCCTTGTTTAAAAGTTATTTCATACTCTCAAAATGTTATAAATTAAAATGTAATTGAATGAGGAAACTAGATTTGAAATCTGATGATGCTCAAAAGAATTACATACGTACACATATATACATACATATGTAAGTATGTACATATATACATGCATATGTAAGTATATATATATATATATATATATATATATATATATGTATATATGTGTGTGTGTGTGTGTGTGTGCGTGTGTATGTATGCATATATATATATATATATATATATATATATATATATATATACATACATACAGTATATATACATACGTATGTACACACTGTATTGACCCGAATATAGGACAACCCCGATTATAAGACAACCCCCCATTCCAAGACTAATCTTCAAGAAAACAAAAAAAAAAAATCATTTTTTAAAGAAACAATTTTTATTGAAATTTTGAGAAATGATACTGAGCAAAAATAATATTTTAATGCTAGCTAGCAGAACTTTGCTCACATGTGAAACCAAAAGTCAAATGATGCTTTTATTCACAGACGTCCTCTGACTTCGCTGTACTCACTCCTTCTCATGCTGCTGCAGTCCTTGTGTACCATCAGATGGCTACAACTGCTGGCTCCTCCTATTGAACGTCACCCTCACTGCTAATGCATCCATGCATGCAATATTTGACGCCTCAGCTGAATTGATCACGGCCATCTTAAAATTTGCATAACTCTGCCTTAGATTGTTAACTTGGCCCACTTTTGGTCCACTCTGCTCCGGACCTTTCGTCTCCATTGTTTTCTCCTGTTGAGAATATACAGCCCTGCACCCTCTGCTGTTACGGGCGTGTAATGACCCCAGACAAATATCACCATGTGTAAATGCTTAGACCCCAATTGTAAGACGATCCAATGTTTTAAAATAATTTTTAATTAAATAAACCTCTTCCTATATTCAGGTCAATAAAAATGTTATCTATCTATCTATCTATCTATCTATCTATCTATCTATCTATCTATCTATCTATCTATCTGTCTGTCTGTCTGTCTGTCTGTCTGTCTGTCTGTCTGTCTGTCTGTCTGTCTGTCTGTCTGTCTGTCTGTCTGTCTGTCTGTCTGTCTGTCTGTCTGTGTGTGTGTGTGTGTGTGTGTGTGTGTGTGTGTGTGTGTGTGTGTGTGTGTGTGTGTATCTATAAACACATATATACAGTGGGGCAAAAAAGTATTTAGTCAGCCACCGATTGTGCAAGTTCTCCCACTTAAAATGATGACAGAGGTCAGTAATTTTCATCATAGGTACACTTCAACTGTGAGAGACAGAATGTGAAAAAAAATCCATGAATTCACATGGCAGGATTTTTAAAGAATTTATTTGTAAATCAGGGTGGAAAATAAGTATTTGGTCAATAACAAAACTTCAACTCAGTACTTTGTAACATAACCTTTGTTGGCAATAACAGAGGTCAAACGATTACTATAGGTCTTTACCAGGTTTGCAAACACAGTAGCTGGTATTTTGGCCCATTCCTCCATGCAGATCTTCTCGAGAGCAGTGATGTTTTGTGGCTGTAGCCGAGCAACACGGACTTTCAACTCCCTCCACAGATTTTCTATGGGGTTGAGGTCTGGAGACTGGCTAGGCCACTCCAGGACTTTCAAATGCTTCTTACGGAGCCACTCCTTTGTTGCCCGGGCGGTGTGTTTGGGATCATTGTCGTGTTGGAAGACCCAGCCACGTTTCATCTTCAAAGCTCTCACTGATGGAAGGAGGTTTTGGCTCAGAATCTCACGATACATGGCCCCATTCATTCTGTCCTTAACACGGATCAGTCGTCCTGTCCCCTTAGCAGAAAAACAGCCCCAAAGCATGATGTTCCCACCCCCTTGCTTCACAGTAGATATGGTGTTCTTGGGATGCAACTCAGTATTCTTCTTCCTCCAAACAAGACGAGTTGAGTTTATACCAAAAAGTTCTACTTTGGTTTCATCTGACCACATGACCTTCTCCCAATTTTCTGCTGTATCATTCATGTGCTCTCTGGCAAACTTCAGATGGGCCTGAACATGCACTGGCTTCAGCAGCGGAACACGTCTGGCACTGCAGGATTTGATTCCCTGCCGTTGTAGTGTGTTACTGATGGTGACCTTTGTTACTGTGGTCCCAGCTCTCTGCAGGTCATTCACCAGATCCCCCCGTGTGGTTCTGGGATTCTTGCTCACCGTTCTCATGATCATTTTGACCCCACGGGATGAGATCTTGCGTGGAGCCCCAGATTGAGGGAGATTATCAGTGGTCTTGTATGTCTTCCATTTTCTGATAATTGCTCCCACAGTTGATTTTTTCACACTAAGCTGCTTGCCTATCGTAGATTCACTCTTCCCAGTCTGGTGCAGGTCTACAATTCTTTTCCTGGTGTCCTTCGAAAGCGCTTTGGTCTTGGCCATAGTGGAGTTTGGAGTCTGACTGTTTGAGGCTGTGGACAGGTGTCTTTTATACAGATAATGAGTTCAAACAGGTGCCATTAATACAGGTAACGAGTGGAGGACAGAAAACTTCTTAAAGAAGACGTTACAGGTCTGTGAGAGCCAGAGATTTTCCTTGTTTGAAGTGACCAAATACTTATTTTCCACCCTGATTTACAAATAAATTCTTTAAAAATCCTGCCATGTGACTTCATGGATTTTTTTTTCACATTCTGTCTCTCACAGTTGAAGTGTACCTATGATGTAAATTACTGACCTCTGTCATCATTTTAAGTGGGAGAACTTGCACAATCGGTGGCTGACTAAATACTTTTTTGCCCCACTGTATGCATAAACACTTAATTTATGTTAACTTAATCTTTATTAGATTAGAAAAGGTGAACTGTTATTATTTTTATATGTATGTAGCAGCAAAGCATTGAGAAAATGTTATGTGTAAATGGAGGTGGGATTAAATAAGTTTTCTTCTTCCCACTCCATATAGCATACATACATACATACATACATACATACTTGTATCTATACATACATACATTCATACTTGCATACATGTATACATACATACATACTTGTATACATACATGCATACATACATACATACTTGTATACATACATACATGCATACATACATACATACATACATGCATACATGTATACATACATACATACTTGTATACATACATGCATACATACATACATACATACATGCATACTTTATTAAATAAACAAACTTTGGCTGGCAATCATTTTCTTTGAAGTATCACAATTTGGTTTTTGTTTCTGTATTCATACAGACACATAATGTCATGCAATAAAGCAGGAATGTTTATGTTTTCTTGATTGTGAAGATGTGAAATTTATTCATGGAGACCATTCAACGTCTCTCTTTCAGTCAACAGACAGTCCCAGGCTGCCTGCTCTCTCCTGCTGAGCTAACACCCTGATTTGACTTACACCATCACGATTTTTTTCATTCTCATTTTTACTTTCCTTACTCGCCTTCTCATATCTCGGCCAAGGCTGAGTACTAACTGTACCCAGATGAAAATGCACACTTAAGAACTATCTCTCTTATAATCTGTTCCATCTGCTTTGTCATTAACTCCTTCC